CCCCCCCCCCCCCCTTACTCCTTCTCTGGAGCTCCTTCAAAGCAATTCTAAATGCGCCTCGTTCCAAGGCTTTACAGCCTGAAACAATAAGGTTATGCGCAAATAAATAAGTAGTGTCCTCTTGTAGTGTGTTTATGGAAGCTTCCAGAAAATCCTCTCAAGAATCTGGACTATTTTATTTTCGGGGTATACCTACCGCACAACCTGAAACGATCGGCTCCCATCTTTCCCACACGCAATTTGCCAAGGGATTTTGTGAAGGTGCCGACGAGTTCTGATGACTTGTTCTGCGACACAAACCTTTGGACTTCTAAAATTTATACTGCATCGCATCTTGACTTGGGAGTAGACCTTAGCAGTAATGGGTTGAAACAGCCGAACCACTCATCTTTTTACTAGGATTGGTGAATTAGTTGCTCCCATAAGCTCAACAAACATTCAAAAGTTCGTGCGATCCATAGTGGGGATTTGATACATGGTTCTTAGGAGGCATGTGTCTGTTAAGCAGCTTTCCAAGAACTACTTCGGACTAGCAGCACAGTTGTTCACAGTGGAACATTTGTTGTACTTTACTTGTAGATAAAGTGTCGTTCTTTTCTATTACACTGGAAGATATTCCCTTACATGTTTTTGTTATCGGCCATAGATCTTTTTTGACTGCCCCAAGGTCGTGACTTCTCAAAAGACAAAGGATTGAATGGTCAGAATCTGTCAAAACAATCGTTTTCAATTGCCTCTTATGACTGACATCTGAGGGGATTCCTTAAGACATTCGAAAGGCTTCTTTTTGCTTGATTAAATGAGATTGAATGAAGTGGAAACAGAGAGGGCAATCCAACATATAAGCTTGTTAGGCAATTCTGATTTCAATCAGTCTGCCCGAGATGGTTGGAGTGTTTTGGTGACGCAAATATTATCACTTTCAATTCGGGGTGTTTTGGAAGTAAATACTTAGAACTTACTTTGACTTGTTGTTTTGTTAACTGCTGTTTTGTCGTCGTAGTGCGCCATCCGAAAGTCTCACAAGGACGGCGATTTTCAGGCAAAACTTCGGCTTCACACGGCACTCGAACCTGTACTTGTGCGTTGCGGGCACCGTGCTGCTCGGCAGTGTAAGGGATAAAAAGCACGGACGGAAAGTACAACTACGGGTTCGAGTCCCGTCCGGGGCCGAAGTTTTGCCGGAAAATCGCCATCCTCGTGAGACAGCCGGAACTTAGGATCACTTTTCCCTCACCTGGACTTCGTGTCGCCCCTCTGCCGTGCCTTCGAGTTTGAATCCAGCAGATGTCTTGTCTACAATACGGTACAAGCTAGTCCTCGTTTGGTTCACTTGTGCCCGCCCATCTTATCCAGGCCCGACAATTCTTTTCGAATTCAAATCCACAGTCGAACCATTCTTCACGTGAACATCTGGCGTGGCTGAATTTCGAAGCAGACGGACAGACCAGAAGTCACTTTCAAGCGATCGCTTTTTGCATACGTTTTTGATGTGGCGGGTTCTACGTGATGAACACAGAGAACAAAGTCCATTCACGTAACACTTCGAGCGAACTCGTGTCCAGGTAGTGGTTGTCAGGTGGTTCACCGTGAAAGAATTCCGCTTTGGTTTTTTCCCCAAAGGAAACGTAAAGTATCGATGTAGGTGGGGTGGTGGGTTGAGTGAAAAGCAATGAGGAAGGTGACGTGAGGTGACGTCAATGGGCCGAATGTGTTCGTGCACATTCTGTACATATGTGTGCATATGTAAGGCGTGATGAGGCCGCAAATAAAGCATTAATCACGGTCGTTTGCTTTTGCAGCAGCGGTTGAATCGGATGCAGCGCTAAATTATTGCCCTCATGCATCGTCGCGGTCACGGTATTTATTTATTGTCAAAGCATTTTTCGATGTAAACCATGACGACCATGAAGATCAATTGCGGTATCGATCGGTTGTTAAGCGGTAATTAAATAGAATTTGAGGAATAAATAACGAAGAATTGGTAGAAATGTGGTCTCTTTCAAACAATCGTTTTGGAGGAGTAAGGGGGAGGGGGCAACGCGTTCTTTATGGAAAAGATGGAATTCCGCTTAGACCGACCGAGTTTCGTATCCATTTGGATGAGGTTATTTGATAGAGAACTTTCCTGAGCTCATGGAATCACGGATTCGTGCAGCTAGAAACTGAGCTTTGAAGTTTGTAAGTTGGACCAGTAGGCAAACAAAAGCCTTTATATTCCTAAATCCGGGTCGAATGCGTGACCCCCATAAAAGACTGCAAGCAGCCGAGTAATTATTGAAATGAAGAGAGTCTCTCTGATTTGTACAGCTTCGACATTCAGCCTCCGGCATTACTCGGCTTTTTTTTGCCATTAAGACAAAAGTAGCGTTTCTAGAACATCCGCTGATATAGAACATACTGGAAACAGAGACAAAATGCAACAATGCATTGCTCATTAATGAATCCACTGTGGGAGAACAACGATGACCTTCAAAATGCTTTTTTCCATGAATTCTCCAATGAATTTGAACTACACTCATCTCTACTTCGGAAAATACTTGTTCCCCTTCCTTTTTACCAGTTCAGCTTAGACTTCTGATGGAACTGTCTTCACTTTCACTTCTCCTGGCAAAGAATGCCACTGGGAAGGTTGTGAATATCTTTCTTCTGATGTAATAAGTTTCAAAAGCACAGAGGTCTTTGGAGGTTCCGTGGATGCTCACTTACTGTTCGGTTCTTCCATCAATCTTATTCCTCACTCTCATTGTTTCCTTTACTCATGTGGGATCAGTTTCTGCCACTTCACAAAAACTTTCCTCTCTAGGACGCGGCAAAGATGCGATGGTACTGTTGGTGAGTGGCGGAAAAGAAGGTGGAAAATGGGTGATTCCCGGTGAGTTGCACTTCATCGCGTTCTAGTTCCAACTTGGGTTTTTTGTATAGTAAAGAGAATTTTGATCTATATCTAATTGTTCAGGCTTATAAGGATATAACTCCGATTAATCCCAGATTTTCGAAGATGATTTGCTTTAAGGTGGTGGCATCGAGCAAAACGAATGTGCTGAAGAAGCAGCTCGGCGTGAACTGGAAGAGGAAGCCGGTGTAAAGGCTCGAGCGGTAGAAGTGATAGGCTTGTTCCAGGTGTGTCTTATGAGTTTTTTTTGTGAATTACACTTAGAATATGTTCGGTTTTTCGGTACTTAACCTCTGCTTCTTCAGGACGACGATCGGAAGCACCGCACAACAGTCTTTCTCATGGAAGTAGAAGAAGAGCTCAGTGTCTGGGAAGAGGTTAGCAGAACGTTCTGTATCGTAAAATCGAAGGGTTCGGAGCTGTCCCACGGGGATTTGGAATGCGCAGCGCATCTGACCTTCCCGAAAGACTGTAGTGACACTTGAATATTTCTGGACCAACACATCAGCTTCTGGGGCAAGGCGTATTTCAGTCCTGATTGATCTTTGGAATAAGGGGAGCCTTGTTAAACCAGGAACATAATGAAGGCTTCCATAGCCACTGTTCATTCATGCAGACCGCCTAATTTTCCCACTTGATTGCCATTTCAATCTGCTGCAGCTTCTAGAGAAATTCAACGACCGAAAATGCGATCATGCAGAAAAATCGAGCAATCTTTAGCGTTTCGAGTAATGTAGGTATCATAGGTAGTAGATCTTTGGTAAGGTACCTCAGAATGAACCTTATTTCCTATTTGGATCTCCCTTGCATAAGCTGAACTCCCAAATATCTTCCCAAATAGAGTTTGGATCCAATAAGCTGGACATACCGAGAAACTTGATGGGCACCTTGACTTTCTCTTTTTTTTCTATGATTGTGATGCACCAAATTCAAATTTTAGGGCGAACATGGTCGACGAAGAATCTGGTTGCCATTGAATGTAGGCGCCGAAGTTGTCAAGGTGGCACATCGACCGATTCTGAATGCCGTTCTGGCGCGGTAGTAATGTGGCGGCGGCGGCACTTCGATATTTCCCCCAGAAATCATCATCATCTTCGTTGTGTTGCCGTACAAAAATTCTGGTGACGCCTTGTCGTCGTCGCCTTTACCACGTTTGCACGACGTCGTTTGCTGTCCATTTTCTACGTTTTTTTTCACTTATTTTTCCTTCCTATGGGCCTCTCCGCTCCATCACGATCATTGCGTGATTAACATTTTTGGGAGAAGCCATTATACTCTCAAACACGACACAGTAACGGAATGTTCGTCCATTTCAGCATGTTAACGGAATATGGTATAGTTTAAAGTGCAGCAGCAATCGCAGGCGCAGATGCGTTTATAGTTTGGATGTTGAGCGCGCGATTGCGGGCGACAAGCAGTTGCCGCGCGTTGAGTCACCAATCAATATCCATACTATGTATGCGCGTCTAGGCTTGTAATGCGTTCTGTACTATATTGTCTAATACTCACTGCTGATTTCATTTATATGTATATTGAATGATGACTCCCTATTGGAGTCACGACAGCTTCGATGCTTGTGCGTGTTTCAGGCGAGCTTTAATCCGCGTGGCGCTGTCAAGATTTGTATTGAAGGCAGTGGACTACAAAAATATCATCAGTGTTGCTTACAGCGTAACTGTAAAATTGAAAGTCGCAAACTGGGTTTATACTTTGCCCGAGCGCCACGAGTTTCCTTTCGAAGTATAAACCTAGCTTTGGTGACTACAATAGCTTCCTCTATGACTAAGCGTAAGTAATCCTGTGGCTGAGCAATGGCATTGATAATATTCTTGTAGGTCACGCCTGTGAATTACCATAAGTAAACAAGCCGGGTGAACGTTTTCTGCTTTGGCTCAGGGTGCACCATCAAATATGTCTCAAGACTGTTAACTTCCTTCAGTTGACTTTTGTGGTACAGTCTGAACGGCCTCATTCGGACTGTGAATGGGTGAGAGTCAAGAAGTCCTAAATCAGAATTGCGTAGGCTAGAAGTTGGGTGTCAAAGCAGTTCATAACGTGGATTAGCGTAGTAGTTTGCGAAAGTTTTCGAGTGTTTCATTCACCACATCATGCGTTCAGACTTCGTATAAGGTAATCCTGCGCCTGTGAATTGGATGTCTATTGATTAATGCTGTACGTCGTGAGGAAGCTGGTGAATGAAGCAGGGCCCCGCTGATTCAATCGGTTCAGTGAGAGACAGTGATTTAGGTGTTAGGCAGTAGATAGCGCCATAGCGGTATAGCTAGATTTGTCAATGAATAATTGGAAAAGCATATTTTGGCGGATTGTTCAAGCTTTGCTGCTGTCCGATCAATACGTATACTTTGTATGTTCGTAGCTTTATGCTGTAACGATTTGTTGAACGCAGACGCAGTCGGGAGCCAAATGGGAGGAAGACCTCGTAGAAATTGATAGGGGAAATTACAGAGGGGTGCAAAAACTGATATGAGACCTGATATTACTTGATAATATCAATATCGTTGATAATGAAAATGATATCAGAGAGAAAACAGAAAATGATGAAGCACCCTAGTAGCTGAAGCAGAAAACTTTCGTTGATACCGCCGGTTACCGTCTTCATATCAGCATATCGTCGATCCGACCGTTCATCAATGCCTTTTTGCCTCTCGTCGCTCGTTCTGTATTGTCGATGTCCATGTTCGCTCGCAAACCACATTTATACTTGTGTAATTCCATTCATGTATGGCACGTCCTCCACGCGTAATGTTCGCAACAGTAAGGTCGTATTTGATGTCGATATAGGTGTTTATTTGACAGCGCATAGTGTCATTGCTATCCATATATAATTAATTATAATTATTTTCTGTTTTATTGTGATGTGACAAGAACTACTAACAAATGAACATATTGATCAGTTGAAGATGAAGAAGTGTTCGGGTCACAGAGATTATCTCAGTGATAATAACAATAAAGCAAGTTTTACTGATAACTTTTGTTATTATAACATGCCTGGCTAGAGTACGTTGGGGAGTATAAACGGGCCGTACTGTAGCGTGCTGATGTTGCGCGTATAGCGAATTGTGCACTGACGAGGCAGAATTAGTCACGGCATAGCGAGAGGGGCATATATGGCGCACTTGCGTGTAGGTGTATTTGCCGCACGTCGCGCGCGAAGAAATCGCTGTGAGGGGCGTCTCTTAGCGAACTATAAACATGCAAATACTACCTGGTAAATTTGTGCAGCATTATGCATGACCAATTGTGGGTTTGAGGGATGTTTATAAGGAATTTTGACTTCGACAGTGCAGGGACTAGGTTATGTAGCAGGTGAAGCCCTCAGCATTGATCAGTTCCTTTACGGGATTCGCCATGCAGTCGTATTTCGTACATTATCGTAGTGGCCTTTGTTAGATGTATTTATAGTCCATTTATCGTTCCGAAGTTCAATAGGTCATAGGTACCCAACTTAAAGAAAATGGAAGGTCGATGAAGCTCGAACTGCAATGGCCTGTTACCCTGCAAAAATGAAATAAATTTTCGAGCGCACCGTTTACTTGTCATCTTCTTCATCTTCCATGACTTCTGCTAGTGGATCTGTTGATGGAATGAAGGTTCTTGGTCGTGATTCGTCCCATTTAGGACGCATTTGACTGCTAGTGCTGATCGGCTTCACATTTGGGGTCGTAGTGGCGTTGATTGACTTCTGGAGGGTAGCAATTGTGAAAATTTTTGGTACCCCTTCCCAGACGAAAGTCTGACCTAGCGCAAAAGGTGAGAGACGTTTTTCTTGGAAAAACCGGAATCCGGGATTTAATCTCCTAGACCGGACCATATCATTAATGATGTAGCTACCCAACTGTTTTCTCTACTCGTATCCCTTTGTACCTTTGTCCGTTTATTTTTGGGAGTAGGCGTTCAATGGACGAAGCAAAGGCCTTTTTTTTTCAGAAAACCCACGTATATTCGGAATATTTGCAGTCAGACATTACCTGTACTGGTACACTCATTCGAGGTACAGTCAAAGCGGCAGTATGACTTACTATATCTTCAAGAGGCGAAAACACGGCCACCATCGATACATATCAGTATTTGGAAGGGGTAAGCCCTCATGATTTGTTTCGGGCGTGCAACGTACCTGAATTCTGATCTATATGCAATTTTCAAAAAGCTTGTAAGGGAGGATTTACTGAGGAACGAGGCCCGGGTCAGTCCTAGTAACTCAAACTCAAATACATCCAGTCTACTCACTTCAGAGAAGTACTTTGATGGCTCTTCATGGATCAGGTTTGCAGTTTGCAAAGCGAAAGACAACAATCTCTCTCGTACATCAATCCATGATTTATTACGGGACAGTTGTTGTTCTATGAATAACGAGAATCTTTTGACATTTGAATCGATGCGCTAAGTGGAGAGAAATGATAATTTTCCTTAGATCAGATACTCTTCGACCCCATCCATCTGTCTCAATGAAGTAGGAGCGAAAACCTCAAAGGCACAGTTCACGATAAAAATTTGTTTATGAGATATCCTTTTAGGATAGATTTGTGGCCTCTCGTATCGGAATGTGACACGGTCAGATCGGAAAACGTACTAGATAGGGCGTTGTCAAAGAATCAAAAATTGTCCCGTGTGTATCCTCGGACGAGTTTCACCGGCATTGTAGGGGCTGCACCGACCACAAGGGGTTTGGTGCGATTCACGCGTCAATATAATGAGATCATCGTACAAGACGCGCTATAACATCATGCCTACCATTTTAATCGGAGAAATAAAAACTTATAAAACATAAGTCACAAAATGACCAACTATGCACTTCACAGAAGGATCGCGTTTTTTAGGATCGAAAAATTTGAAGTTATTCTTAATCTGAACGTTTGCCAAGTAAATTGTTGGCCTATGGAGTAAATTCTTATTTCCGAAGGGGCTTCATTGCCATAGTAAAGAGATTTGCTCTAATTCATAGTGAAGCCGTGGACTACTGCAAATCTTATTTGGTCCATCTCAACAGAAGTGTGCTGAAGCGATGCTGCCGTGAGCGAAGAGCTCTAATGGGGTCACGCGTGGATTGTGAACCCATGTAGGAAGTTCAAGCCGGATAGTTTCAGCTCGATGTAGTCAGCTCTTTGCGCAATTGCAGCAACTGAAATCTCGTCCGAATGAATACTCCACGTTATTTCCGTCATGGTGATCTCGTCCAAGTTCAAGTTCACTTTTTCGAGAGCCTTTTTTTTCTCGAAATCGATACGAACAATAGCGCTCAAAAGTCTTCGCCTGTATTGTGAATATTCACCACTGCTAACCTGCAATCCGATCATGTTCCAGATATCCCAAATATATCTGTTTCAGATATGGCGTGAACTCAAAATTAACTGGAAATACGAATGATTCTCCTTCTGGAATTCGTATCCATTCTGCCATGTCTGAAGTGTACGATCGCCAAAGCCGGACACAGTGAAGGAGTCGAATGCATATAAGGTGCGAATAACTGCAGATGTTACTAACTTTCCTTTTAGCGGATATGCCACCGCAAGAAACACCTTCCATTAAGTCACGTGGATATTGCTGCTTTGCATTCAAATAGTTTTGCTCCACTAAAAAAAGTTATGAACGAAAAAGCGTAAGAGCGCTTGGCCACAGACTTCTGAGTGCTACTGCATATATTTAAGTACTCCACACATTTCACCGACTATGTATAAAAAAGAGAAAGAAAAAGAACGAAAAAAGAAAAATAAAGACGAGCCTAGTTTTACGCCTGCTCAAAACGTTTTGTGAAGGAGTCAAGCTCACCGGGAATCTGAGTTTTGCTGCAACAGGAAGATACCGAACCAATAGCAAGGGCCATAGATGTAAAAGCNTTTCCTTTTAGCGAATATGCCACCACAAGAAACACCTTCCATTATGTTACGTGGATATTGCTGCTTTGCAGTCAAATAGTTTTTCTCCACTAAAAAAAGTTATGAACGAAAAAGCGTAAGAGCGCTTGACCGCAGACTTCTGAGTGCTACTGCATGTATTGAAGTACTCCACACATTTCACCGACTG